TCTTGTGAAAATATGAAGTCACTGTGGTTGAAGTCCCTAGAAGTCTGCTGAAGTCTTTTGAAGTCTGGAAGTCTTGAAGTCCGCTGTTTCCCCCTTGATTATAACCTTATTTGATTTATTTTTCAGTGCCAGATAATCAACAGTTTTTAATGAAAGTAGTGTTTGTTGTGACAAATAATAAACTATGAGCAATATGAGTTGAAGTGGGTATAACCTTAGTGTTAGTATCGGTGTCTCTCAGAATGGTCTTCATTTGTACACCCGCGCCCAATCTTCTATATGAAATCTCTGTTTTCTTTGTTGCCTCAATTCACGAAGTATATGAGAGAATTTTTCAATTCTCTGCGTAGACAAAAACTTGCAAAACTATAACGACAGTCGGCAATTTACTTTCTATATAGGTATCGACAAGAAGGTAAAAAGCACTGTTGGAGTTAAAATTGGGGTAGTTATAACTCGAGTTATAACTTTTGAGTTATAACTGTTCAACTTTCCGAAGAAGGTGTTTTAACCGCTGCAAAGTTGGCAGTTAAAAGTCAAAAGTTATAACTCGAGTTATAACTTTTGAGTTATAACTGATCAACTTTTTGAGAAACAGTTTTAACTCCAACAGTGGTAAAAAGTTACAATAATCCTTCGTTTCAACAGCACGCACTAATCGAAAGTATCCAACAATTATGGCTAATAGAGTTCCTTGTTCAATGCTGACTGTACCTGTGGATCTTGTGTATCGAATTCTAGACCATCTTGAATACCGGGGAATTTTATTTTCAGCCCGAAATGTTTGCACCAGACTCAACAAGATTACTGATACCTATCCTCGGGTGTGGGTGTGGGTGTGAGTGTGGAATGTGAGTGTGGATGTCAGTGTGGATGTGGATGTGGGTGCCAAGTGTCTCCTAACTCACACTCACATACAGCTCCACCGACGGCCACAGTCAGACACCCGCATTCATAAGGTCGAGACGGAAAATATGAAAAAAAATTGACTTAGGCTATTGATTCCATGTAAGAACTGAACACTGAATTTAGTCACGAAGTCAACTTTAGGCGCTTTCTATTAAAGAAATGTGAATGGAATAGAAAGCAGTCACTTCAGTTTCAATGTGTTACTCTCTGTTTTGAAGAAAGAATTCTCCTATTTACTTCTCTTGAAGCTCAGAAAAAGAAAGAGAAAAGGGTTAGTAGTGTGTCTGTCATACTTCGTTCTTTCATTCAGCAGTAATGTGTTTTTGTATAAAGTAAACAATGAAGGTGCATGTTGGAGAAAAAAATACTCTTTTTGCTCGATTTTTTGCTTGTTTTTTTTTCTGTATTTTTTGTTGTTTCGTCTTCTCCTAAGTTTGAGCTCAACTGGGTAATTTTCTATAATCATATTTCAACATATTTGCTGGTAAAAATCGTTCATTTTAATTATCTTTATCTATAGACTTCTCCTAGAATCGACGATGAAAGACTGGTGGTGAAGGTTGTCGTAGAAAATTTATGAAATCCATACCTTTTGGACTTTTTAAGACAGAAATGTTTTGATGGTATGCATAAAAAAGGTCGAAATAAAAAACATCTAAAGTGAAAAATGTCGAAAAAAAAAATATCGAAAGTGCTATTAATGCAGCTTTAGCACACAATATTCACATATAAGTGCAGAACATAGATGGTGCTGCAGATAGTTCACATAGTATTGGTGAAAGCGCATGCTGAAGTTGCATTAATAGCACTTTCGACTTTTTTTCTTTCCACATTTTCCACTTTCGCCGTTTTTTGTTTCAACGTTTTTTATACCATTCGTTTTGATTTATTGGTTGAAGAAAATGCTCTCTGCAATTAATCTAAACATACGAGAGCCAAATCCACTTTCAGGAATCCAACTGAAGCAATTTTCTTCAGAGGTCAACGTTCCACAAATTTCTATACTTAATTTCGGAAACGATAGATAAATAACTGTTTCTATGGACTTTTTCTTAAGTTGCTGTAACTAATAAATCTTTCTTTTTAGAGATTATAAATAGCTTGTTGAATTTTGAGTTGTCATCCTGTGACTACTGCTACCATCTGATACATAGCTTGTAGCCTGAATAAAAATCCGATAACTAGTCTGTACTTTCTGTAAAACTTGTCATACACGATTCCCTTCCATAATAGAATTAATCAAGAACCGTGTTATCAAAACGTCAAACATGATCTTATGAAGTAGTCATTTCTTATCTAAGAGTCTAGACTGAGAAGTCTGCTCTCTGTGCATGCCTACTATAAGATAGCAGAGTCCTCCAAGGATATGTATTTCGTTACCTTACCTGACCCCAGGAGATTTTTTCGTAGCTTAGTGTAGAAATGTGGTATGAAAATCTTACCTTATACCCTCTAAAATGTTTTACTTTTTCGTGAAACACTCGTTTTGAAAAAAGTCACTCATGACCCTATTCAAATGGAAAAGAAAACGTTCACCAGTTATTATTCTTAAGATTTTAAGCAACTTTTGTTTCGATAAATGAGCTTTGAATGATAAGATAATATTTGTATATATTCAACGTCTGGGACTTAAATCGTCAATCTTGATGAGTGTTGAACAGAGCAGATGAGCTCGTGACCTTAGAATCCTGTGCTCCAATTACTCTGCTAGTTTACTAGCAGTATTTAACATCAATGAAAAGTAGCGAAATACTTAGATGAATAATAATTAAGAAATGGATGAGCGGAGCGTAAACTGTATGTATGGTTACATGGAATTTGAGCTCGCTTGTCTCCTCGAGAATGCTGGTAAATGAAGCATGATTACCGAAAGAAACGATCATCAGTAAATAATGATTAACTGAAAACACAAAAGATTTCCTTCTCACAAACATCTCAATTCACGACGACTTAACTAAGAATAGGTGAATATGTTTGATATATTGAGCGTTGAGTTCCACGCTCAATAGCAATGATAAGATGAGCAAGAACTCAGCTATTTTTAGCTTAGTCTTAGTAAAGCGTTTCACTTTTTTAGTGAAACATAAATTTTTATATCTTCAATAAACAGTTCGTGAGCGATGTAATGTTGTTGACTTATTCTCCGAAATTGCTTTCAAATCATCTTTGACAGAAGCAAAGATCAGCATTTTTATATCCATCAAAAGCACTGACTTTTCCGATGAAAATCGCAATATTTTCTAGCAAAATACCTATGTTTCTATTATAATTTTGTGAAACACGATCTGAAAGGTGTGTTGCAGTATATAGGGTAGAAATTTGCCCCCCCCCCCCCCCGCCCCTCCACAGACCGTGACAGATAGAGCCAGAACCCATCACAGATCATCACAGATCATGATAGACATCTGAATTAATTAATTAATTAATTTTTATTTAATCAACTAATTGCCCATCACAGACCATGATAGACAGAGTTCGGACCCATTACAGACGGTAGCAGGCGGCTTCAACCAACTATTACAGGTTATGTAAAATTAACATCTAATTGAAATCTATACATAGTATTTCCTTGTTGAAGTTTTATGCTGTAAGGTAAGGAATGATGACGAAATATGCCCCAATATACACAAAAAAAGACCAGTTTTTAGGGGATTAGGAACAATGGATATATTGTGTATCACATTTTAATCCCGCAGGGATTGCGCTAACAGCTTTTTTTTGTGAGAAATTACTTTGTGCGGTTGATCAATCATTATCTGCTGAAAGAAACTGTTAACAATCGTTGATCTTATGCAGAATTACATCAATATCAGAGTTTATTATAATCATGAATATATTTAAATATTAAAATTCGACAGAGTTGTAAGTCGGTAAGTGTGATGGAGTGTTGGTGAACACCTAAGCACTCACCTTCTCACAGCAATTCGCACTCTCTTTTTGGAGGAGAGCGTTGAATCATATGAAACACAACTTTGACTATCTAATGATTAGGTTTTTTTTAGATTTTGATCAATGTTCTGCAAATTAATTCTTACTCACATTTAGAGTATCAACCTATTGTAGCAGTTCCTGTGGCTATCATTGGTGACAAAACTACGTAAATCTGATCAGGAGAAGAATGTCTAAATATGCAGAAGTCGACAGACACGTGCCGAACAGTAGAGTACGTTAGATAAAGTAATAGATCATAGTATGATTTTTTGAATATCGATTAGAGATTTGAATATGACCGAATAGTAGGCAGTACGCTACCTCCTAACTACGCTAACGAAACAGCGGAGTTTTCAATAGCGATCAAACATATTCCGGCAATTGTAACCCGCCAGACCATCATAGATTTTGCGAATCAGTTCGGTGAATTAGCAGTGGAGCCTCACATTACTCCAAGCGGTGGTAAGTTGAAATAGTCGACACAATTATGTAAGCTAGATGAATATTACAGTAAGAATGCAAAAAACTGCGCACATTACGTTTACTGAGCAATCAGCAGTTCAACGTTGCATGGACAACGAACAACGGCAAGCCTATATGATTGATGGGTATCCTGTAACTGTTCAACGATGGATGCGGACTGGAATCCTGTTTGAAAGAACAAATCGTTTAATGGTTTTTGTCAAAGCAAGTAGTTCAAGTTGTGTATTAGATGAAAAAGAACTACATAACTATTTCGAAACAAATTATGGTCCAGTAAAAACTTTCGGCTGGCAATTGGAGAACGTGGCAACAATCGAATTTGATGAGTGAGTTTACGAACATGAATTATAACTAAATCTGAGCATGCCCTCATTTAGCTATGATTCAGTAGATCGAGCTATCATCACTTCTTTGACACATACAATCAATGGAATTACAGTCAGATTAGAAAAAATGCGATCTTTCAATGTACGGCAAGCATGTAAGAAAATTATATTTATAATGAATTTCAATTACTCGTCATGCAAACGAATTCTTCTCTGAGTAGATGAGAATACTGTTGCACCAAATGATATCAAGTTTTGTGTTCATGTCATGAATGTTCCCCCTCATGTCAGTGGTGAACATCTAGCGTTTCTTTTTGGCAGTCGCGTATGGGATGTACTAATTCGAAAGAGCATCAACGCAGACACAGATCCATTTGATGCATGGATTTTAAAGTTAAATACATTGGCCGATGCTCAACAACTTGCTGCATCAGTCAAAACTATTCATGGAATTGATGTTCAATGCAATGCTGAAGAAGAACCATTGAACGAATGGACATTGTGTTCCGGCAACCGTGATGGTTGGTGCAAGCATGGTAGTGGTTGCATTTATCGTCATATCACATGCAAGTACGGTGATGAATGTATGTACGACCAATGTCCATTTAGCCATTCGACGAAGAGAAATATTGCACCAAATCCAAGATATAGATCAGCAGGGTATGTATTATTGCTCATGTTGGTTTTGAAAGAACAGATCTATCATGTTAAATTTGATTGATCAGAAACTGATCAATCAGATAAGCTTTCAAAAGACATTCTTCGGATGATATTTTACGGTTGATTTTAATTTGAAAGATCACCATTTGACAGGATGAGTTGCTTTCTTGCCTTCTGAATAAGATATGCTTTGTTAACATTTTATGTTCAGGACACAGAAGCATTTTCTCGAGAGTTCTTAAATCAACCTGTAAGAAATTTAGTTAGCTACGCTAAATTAGATGATAATCTTTGTTTACCGATCCATAGTGATCTCAAAATGCCATCTCGACATCTTCTAAAAGTTGACCCTATATTCATCACAGGAGCAAAAACTAGAATTGTAAGAAATTTGATATTACAACATCAAATAGTCAAAACCAAAATTTACGGAAAAATACTTCAACCTCCTGAATAAAAAATGTTAGAAAAATTGGTCACAAATAGATCTATAGAGAACAATACTTTCTATCGAAGTCTCGCATTTGAAACGAAAAAAATAACTCTAGAATACCATCTTGAATAATAAATTCCCTTCTACGTAGTTTAAAACGAACAGTATAATCATTTTCTTAACTTGTTTAACGGGATGAATGTTGAACTTATTTGATTAACTAACAGACCTATAAACCAACAGTACCGTATCAGAATCGATGGTCTTCCTTCCAATATGACAGTAACTGAACTTTTGACAGAATTAAAAAAGCAACCACTCAGTTTAACTAATTCTATCGAAGCTCCTGAAATGCCGAAAGGTGCCACCACTCGACATTTCTATCTTGTTCGACAAGCAGCTGAGAAACTTGCGCGAAAACGAGTTTACGAATGGCATGATTATCCAATAAGGTCAAATTATACTGTTAAATGTCAATTGGAATATGATCGTGCACCAATCGAACAAATTCCATCAAATCCATCTCCAGATACAAATAGTTATCAACAACTTTCAGCTATATTTGCACGTAACTTCTTATTTCTTATAATATTTGATATTCAAATAAACTGTGACTATGTGTAGCGTTAGCACCTGGTACAAATGAAATTAATGGCATGCCCTACACATGGATATGGACGAATCGACGACTGGATAATAACATGAGCGAAGTTTATTTGGTTTATCCAACCAAGTCAACCGATGATCGCCTTGGCGCTATGAAAGTGTATCGTAATATGAGTAAGCTAGAAGAAATACGAGCTCGACGAGAACTACTAGTACTACAAGCACTCGAAAGTATGTAGAAAAAGAATAGAAAAATATGATTTATTATTAATTGTAATGCTCGAGCGTTTCGATTTCCATGTGAATCAAGATAGCGCTTTATGTTTTTGTATTCTATTCACAGCTTTTAAGAATATAGAAAATGTTATAGCTACAACGGCTATATACAATGCAAGTTATCTATAGAAATGTAACCTTTACTGTTTTTCCATGAAATTGATTTGTTTGATACTGATAGTATAATGTTCAGAGAAAGGAGGAAAGATTTGACTTCTAAAAATTGGTTAGTAGAAAATCGATCATCTACAATAACTTTTTTTCAAATACTTGTCTTTGTCCTTCTAGCAAAAGGCACTGTTATTGTATTTGGAAAACTAACGGGCACCTATGGAAAACATAATTTTTTTCCAGAAATCAAAATCGGTAGTATAGACAAAGATTCAAATTTTTGACTCGAGGGAGATGAAGATCGTCCTCGTTTCTAGATAAAGGTAGGTTCAATATTCAGATCAAGTAATACGTGAACAGTAGATTATGTTTTTCTATGATGAGAAATATTTGCACTGGAGTCATGATAGATAAGTCATCGTTTCGATTCTAATTTGTGAATAAAAGTTGCAGGAATGTGAACTTGATGGAATGCAATTAGCTTCTTGAGTTGTTTCGGTGGTCCTCCAATGTATTCTCAAAATCTGGAAATCGACAAAGCAACGAAGCATGGAATGGGGGCATTACTGATCAGTCTATTCAGTACATGAGGACAATATACTGTATTGAAGAACAAAACATAATATCTCAATTTTTCTCAGTTATCAACTACGAAAACTCTCTGAAACATTCAGCCAGATCGATCTTCTCGTTCTCGACTATCTTTCATACCAATCTAAGCTTTAAAACCCAATGTGTTCTTCTGTATGTTCGTCTGACTTCGAACACATGCTGTTGATGACCAGAAAAGGGAGGAAGAAGAATCATGAATGATGAGAGATCATTTAATTTTTCATCAGCTTAGATGATCTCATCGATCTCATGATTGCTAGTTATGTCAATAATCAGTAAGCCCTGAACGTGATCTTACAGAATCTCAGCATCGATTGAAACAGTTTGGACAAGAATTCGTGATAGGTTCAAATTTTTTTCGTTTGTTGAATGTAGAAATCAGTTTTTTTATCAATATAGAATCTGTTTACTTTCGTTCACATAATGTGTAGGCGATCCGTCTGTGGTGTCCGTCTATCAAAGTAACATTCTTGATGTCGAACGAAATGCTGATGTACCGATGTGGATAATCACTCAGGTAGTTTCCGACTTAACTTTCAAAGATTTTATCAATAAACACAAATCGGAGATCACGCTTCGTATTGCATTATCTCTGACTCGTCAATTGCTCGATATTATTAAACGATGTCATGAGAATCACGTTCTTCATCGAAATCTGCAACCGAATAATATCATGGTGCAACATAATCATATTCATGTACCAATTGATGAGATTAAACTTATACTCATTGATTTTGGCTTGAGTTGGACTGATAGTGAAGAAGTGCGAATAAGTGAAGAAGACGATTCGAAAATATTCGATCATGTTCTCAAACGAGGTTCGATCGATGATATACACCAAACATCAGATAACACACTCTCTAATTTTGTACAGTTGTTGTTATCGAAAAATCAACTGAACAGTCCCACAATAGACTCAACTGGTATATGTAGTATTTTATTTTGGTTGCTCACCGATAAATGGGTGGATCAAATGTACGATACAAATTTTTCTCACCATCAAAGTGACTTTCAACAAATTATTGACAAAAAAATAGGTAAGAGTGTAAGAATGTTAAAATACTATTTTAATGTATTCGTAATTAGGAGATATTCAAGATAAAGCGAAAGTGTACGAACAAATAATTCATACGTTTGAACGTGCATTTGGTTCAATTGAGAGAAGGTGGCATATAGACGAACTAATTAATCATTTGGCTATGATCAATGTTTTACTCGATAACCTCGAAGAGACATGCATCGAAACATATTTTCCCAGAGTATCCCCTACCAATGTGTTGGCATTCAATGATCCTTACCCTCGAACTATAACTATGCTGGCTCGAATCAAACAACAGTTTGTCGAACAGTATTCTACCATTATCAAATGGTCAGATGATCACAACAAGTGGCTCATCAACAATAAAGAAAACGAAGTCAGAAATATGGATGAACTTACCTATGATTATCAAGAACGGCAATGTACAATACCCATTGTGTGTATAGCGAAGATTGAACGTGATCAAACAAGTATTTTCCTCAGCAGTAGTACTGTGAATAGTACAATTGATCTAAAACCGATCTGCAAATTCGAAAATGCGATGATCGATATGAACTTCAGTCAATATTACAATAATGCTATTAAGAAACTGGTCATAGAATGGATCAAGCGATGCATCTGATCTATTCAATATTCGTCAAACAAAAAAGGACAATGGCATTTTTTTCAAGGAATGCGTCAAAAAGTTGAATATGCTTGTTTTTTTCTTGCTTTGTTATTTGGCCATAACTGATAAGAAATGGGTGTGGGTGTGGATGTGGGCGTGGGTGTGGGGTGTGGGGTGGGCGTTGGTGTGGGTGTAAGGTGTGGGGTGGGTGTGAGTGTGTGAGTAGATGTGAGTGTGGATGTAGGTGAAGTTGTATTTCAATCAGATACGCACACCCACATACCCATACCCACCCACACCCACATCCACACCCACACCCACACCCACACCCACACCCACACCCACACCCACCCCACACCCACACCCACACCCACCCCACACCCACACCCACACTCACACCCACACCCACACCCACACCCACACCCACACCCTATCAAAATCAATTCATCTTATCTGACATAGGCGAACAGAATTAGTT